GAGATACAGCCTAGAGGACTTGGTAGGCAGGGGATGGGGTAGGTGGTGAGAGAACGAAGGGGATCTGGTATTAGTCCTCCATGTTTTGCTTGAGTCGTTGGGCTGGTGGTGGTCCCTGTTACTGAGATAGGGAAAACAGGAAGAGGAACAGGCTTGGAGAAGAAAATCAAGAGTTCTGTTTTGGCCATAAATTTGAGATGTCTGTTAAACATCCACATGGGAAACCACATAGGGAAAAATTATACAGAGATGCGAAGGAAGAGGCACCTAACAGTCTGGTAGAGAAGTAGGAGAAACAAGTGAAGGAGACTAAGGCAAAACCAGTGAGCAGAGGGAAACGCCTATCGCAGAAGCCAACAAAGAAAGCGAGGGAGTGATCAGCTGGGTCAAAGGCAGCTGGGAGTTCAAGTAGAAGGAAATGGCAAAGAAATGAATAGCTGGGGGCCAACTTGCGGTCAAGGAGGGGTGTGCATCCCTAAATGCTATAATTTTACCTTTTTTTGGTACATGTCTTTTAAATCTCTTTTAATCCATAGGTTCCCAAAGAGGGCCCCTTTTAAAAATGGAAGATAGAGAGCATATTTGCACGTCAATGGAGATGGTCCAGCAGAGAAAAAGGAAAAGGCAAGCTACAGAAGGGAAGTCTTTGAGGGAATGTGCTTCAGAGAATAAGCAGAAGAGGGAGCCTGTGATAGGAACCGGGGACACTAACATAATGGGAAGGAGAGAAGAGGACGTGGCTAACCTGACTCACCGGTCAGGCAGGTTGGTAGATGTGGTGGGGGAAGGTGGCATTCTCCATGAAAAAGGAGGTGAGGGCACCAACAGCTTCCTCCATCACTGATACCCACAGCAAGATAAACAATCACCAGGCCTCTAAGCCCCTCCACCTCCTGTTGTCAGTGGACACTGCCCTGAGGATGCCACTTTCCCTGTAGCTTTCTCAGGGGAAGGATGCCAATAACCCCATGCTCTGCCCTACACACACACCACATGGGAGTGGAGTGGACACCCCCTGCTTCTCCTTCCAAGACACTCACTTTTCTCCTTCTCAATGCAAACAGGCAAACACAAACAAAGCCCCAGTGTCTCGCATAGCTTTCAGCACATCAAAGATATTCAGTAAATATTTGTTTAAAGAAACAAACCAACCCTGCCCTTCTGAGATCAGTCCCTATCACCCACTAAACTCTTCTCCTCTTGGAGAAGAGTTCCTCTTGGACACAGGCTGCTTCTCCATGCTGACTGCTGCCAGCATCCTGGGGCTTCACTCTGGTTTTGCAATTTGGTATACTCAAATTCAAAGAAATTACTCTCTAATCCTCTTCGGTCATAAACTGTTGGGAGCACATTTAAGACCCATCGGAACTTTCCTCCCCTGCCTCGGGAGACGTTTCAGTGGCAACTGAAGGCATGCAAATTTCTTCTCTCCCTTAACTTCCCGTCTATGCTAATCATGTGAAACAGTGCCCCTGAGTGGACAATCATTGCATATGCATTCTCTATATTTAGAATAACAGGAAGACTATTTTGAAGCACCTGGTTAAAATAAGAATAATAATACATTCATTCAACAGACATTTTTGTGTGTATGTGTGCGCATCTGGTATATCTGAAATTACCTTGGGGCACGTAGTTTCACTGTTATCACATGATCCTATAACAAACCAAAGGCAGTCACAGGGTCATGTTCCCACTGCCTCTTCCACAGTGTTAGCTGTTACTGAATAAATGCAGAAGGACTCTAACTTAGGCTGATATTGGAAGAAGCTGGGGTCAGTTACAACTCTGGAGGACTTCATCAGCATGAGGTTTTTTTTGGTCGGGCACAGTGGCTTGCACTTGTGATCCCAGCACTTTGGGTTGCAGAGGGAGGAGGATCACTTGAGCCCAGGAGTTTGAGGGCAGCCTAGGCAACATAGGGAGACCCCATCTCTACAAAGAATTAACTGGGCATGGTGATCCATGCCTGTAGTCCCAGCTACTTGGGAGGCTTAGGTGGGAGGATGACTTGAGCCTAGGAGGTCGAGGCTGGAGTGAGCCGTGACTGTGCTACTGTGCTCCAGACTAGGCAACGGAGTGAGACCCTGTCTCAAGAAAGAAAAAAGACTTTTTTTCATGAATTTATTTAACAAACTTCTACTGAGTACCCATTATGCTCTAGGTCCTGAGTTGGAAAAAGATGAATCAGACCTAGTACCTGCGCTGTTGTTCAGAGATCTGGAGGAGAAAGGCATAGAGGTGAGTAATCCCTAATGCAGTGCGATGTGCAGCACTCACTCACTCAGCAAACGTGCAGTGAGGACCTGACATGCTAGGGACTGTGCCGAGGCTATAAGGATAAAAGCCATGGCAGTTGAACTGAAATTGTGCACGGTCTGTGTAAGGGGAAGTCACCATTTTAGAGAACACCGCCCTAATGGAGTGGAATTAAAGGAGGGGAAGTGGGGACAGGGTGGTTCAAAGGAAGGAGTGCTGACATTTGGGCAGGGGTTGAAGGGTCAGGGAAGGGCTTAGAGAGGCAGTGCTTAAGCTGAGCAGTGCTGGATGGATGAGTGGGCATGTCTGGTGGGGCGGGGAGAGGAAGGTCTCAGTGCTACCCAATCTAGCCTTTGGGATTGTTAGACTAAGATTCCTAACACAATTCTACTGCCAGGTCATCCCCTTGCTCCAATGCCAGTAACAACCCTCTGGTGCAGGGTCTGACTATTTCTTAGGTCCCTGTACCACTCCACCCATTCATTGGTGACTCCTCTCCAGCCAGGACACTCTGCTTCAGCTGCTAATAGATTTTAGCACAGCCTTATTTCTCAACATACAAGGGCCACATATGCACACAGACCTGCAGGGGTCAAAACCAAAAACCGACTGTGTGGCTGAAGGAATAATATGCCTGACATTCAGTTTTGGCACTGCTGCCCAGAAAAGACCTAGGTTGGAAGTGGCCTCCAGAGCCTTGCTGATCATCCCCAGGATCTCACTTGTGTACCTAAACCTCAGTGCCTGGTCCTTATGCCCTCCTTCCCAGGTTTCCTGAACCTGGGGCTCAGCCTGTCAACCTGGACACAGAAGTCCCTGTCCCTATACTGATGCCCAGACCATTCCTGATTACTGGACCTTTCTGTCCTGGTCTCCTGGCCCTGCCCACTCTGACATCCATAAGCTGCTTCATTCTCCTCACCAGGCAGTTCCCTGTGCTGTCTGTGCTCTCTTCCTGGGGCCTAGGTTCCCAGCTGGACCAGTACATTCTTATTTTGTCATTTGAACCATCCCCAATGCCTCCTGATTGGCCTGCAGCCTCAAGTGTTCCTGTGGCTCTGGCTGGCCTGGCACAGCATCACCCAGGCCATCTTCGGAGGCTCTGCACTCCCTCAGCCCTCACCTGTAGCAGGCTCACTTTCAGTGGCTCCATGCTGCATACTGGAGAGACTGACACCTACCCCACATGGCATTCAAGGTGCCCTCCATTGCTCCTAGCCTACCTTTTCCTAGAGCTAGACCTTCACCATCCCTTCTCCAGTGACCTGCCCATTATTCCCGGGACATGCCCTGTACTTCCCTACATCTGCCTTCCTGCCGTTCCCCTTTCCAGAACAACCTCCTCTGATCCTTTTGACCTTCCAAAATCCTCCCCATTCTCCACAGCTCAGTTCAAACAACACTGTCTCAGTGAATCCTTCCTTGATCTCCCCCTGTTGAAAATAGAATCTCCTTCCTCTGAACCACTATAGGAAAAGGGAAGGAAATTATATCGTTTAAATATCTGCCATGAGCTATATGTTAAAAGCATAAACTTTAGAGTCAGGCAGATCTGGCTAGAATCCAATAGCTGTGTAACCTTGGGAAGCACACGTAATCTCTCTGTGCTTCACTGTTTTATCTTGAAAAACATAAAAATACCCATCTTTACTACTTGTTCATGTAAACATTTGAATCCCTAATACATCCCAGGCTTTGTACTCTTATGGTTATTCTGTTGTTCTTGTTGTTTTGTTGTTTTTTTGAGACGGAGCCTTGCTCTGTCGCCCAGGCTGGAGTGCAGAGGCATGATCGTGGCTCAGTGCAACCTCTACCTTCTAGGTTCAAGCGATTCTCGTGCCTCAGTCACTTGCGTAGCTGGGATTACAGGCGTATGCCACCAACCCTGGCTAATTTTTTTGTATTTATAGGGGAGATGGGGCTTTGCCATGTTGGCCAGGCTGGTCTCAAACCTCTGGCCTCAAGTGACCTGCCTGCCTTGGCCTCCCAAAATGCTGGGATTATAGGTGTGAGCCCTACGCTTGGCCTCTTATGGTTATTTTCAGAAGTAAATGAGGTGATGTATGGAAAGTGGCTGGCACATAGAAGCTCTCAATAAATAAAAACTCATTGGCTGGGTGCAGTGGTTCATGCCTGTAATCCCAGCACTTTGGGAGGCTAAGGTGAGAGGAATGCTTGAGGCCTAGAGTTCAAGACGAGCCTGGGCAACATAGTGGGACCCCGTTTCTGCAAAAAAATTAAAAAATTAGGTGGATGTGGTAGCGCACACCTGTGGTCCTAGCTACTTGGGAGGCTGAGGAGGGAGGATCTCTTGAGCCCAGGAGTTTGAGGCCACAGTGAGCTATGATGGTGCCACTGCACTCCAGCCTGGGCAACAAAGCAAGACCCTGTCTCAAAAAAGACCACCAAAAACAACCAACCAAATTAATACTACGACTATTCAGTTTAGTTTCTGAGAAAAAGGACATTCCTCAGGGTGACTTCTGTTTAGCCGGGAAGCACCACATAAGACTGAGATCCAGAACCAGCTCTGGACCCAGGCAGACTCTCATAACCGTTCCAGCACCGTGTGTCTGATGCAAGGCACAGATGTGACTGACATTTTCTGAACCAGTATCTTCCACTGCCAAGGCCGTCCGAGATACTCAACATCAAGGCTCTCTGTGACTAAGAGAAAGCTCTGGAAAGCTGAGTCAGCTGGCCCTTGGCGCCCCCTCTGCCATCTGGAGTAGCCTCCCTACCTTCATACTGGACTTCTAGGTGCATCGTGCCCAGCACCTTCAGCACGCAGTCCACGATGCTGGGGTGTGTGGTCCCAATGATTGGCTGACAAGACAGACAACAGGACAAGGTGGTTAGTCTTTTTTTTTCAAAGATGGAGTCCCACTCTGTTGCCCAGGCTGAAGTGCAGTGGTGCAATTTCAGCTCACTGCAACCACCGGTTCCTGGGCTCAAGTGAGGCTCCTGCTTCAGCCTCCCGAGTAGCTGAGATTACAGGCAACCGCCACCACGCCCAGCTAAATTTTTTTTTTTTGAGACAGAGTCTCTCTCTGTCACCCAGGCTGGAGTGCAATGGCACAATCTTGGCTCACTGCAACCTCCACCTCCCAGGTTCTAGAGATTCTCCTGCCTCAGCCTCCTGAGTGGCTGGGATTACAGGCGTGTGCCACCATATCTGGCTAATTTTTGTATTTTTAGTAGAGATGGGGTTTCACCATGTTGGTCAGGCTGGTCTGGAACTCCTGACCTCATGATCCGCCCACCTCAGCCTCCCAAAGCACTGGGACTGCAGGCGTGAGCCACCGTACTTGGCCCCCAGCTAATTTTATTTTAGTAGAGACAGGGTTTTGCCATGTTGGCCAGGCTGGTCTCAAACTCTTGACCTCAAGTGATCTGCCCACCTTAGCCTCCCAAAGTGCTGGGATTATAGGCGTGAGCCACTGTGCCCACCCAAGATGGTTAGTCTTTAGATCTTGTCCACCTGGAAGAAAGGAAACTCAGACTTCCAAACAGCCAGGAGCCTGGGTGAATGGGGGAGAGGGAGGGAGGGCAGTGTTAAGACACTGGGCCTAGGCTGAGGCTGCCACTGAACTCTCCAGCTCAGGAGGCATTAAATGAGGCTACCTGCTAGAGGTGCAGAAACAAGGCCGCCTACTCTGGCTGGGGGAGAGAGGACACAGGGCAAGGAGAATGGAACTCATCCAAGATCCTAAAATCTTCTCTTCCTCAGGAACCTCATCCCATCAGACAGCCCCTTTTTTCTGTCTCCCCATACTTTTACCCATGCATTGGTTCCCTTCTTGTAGCATTAAACACCCTCAAGCTCATCCATATTTAACAGCATTGTCCTTCAACTCTTCCTTTGCTATTGCTCCTTTTTCCCTTTACATCTAAGCTTCCCAAGAGAAGCCACTTCTTCATCCCCCATTCATCCTTTGACAGGGTGCTGCGATTTAATTTTTCCTGCCATAGACAGTCTCCGAATTCACCAAAACTCTTCCTGCTGGGACCGTCTTTCTATTCTACCCTTACTGAATCCCTTTGTTGCATCTAACCCCGCTGGTCATGTCCCCCTTATGCAAACTTTTTTCCCTTGATTTTTCCAGCCCCATTTTTTCTGTTTTCCGTCTATCACTGTCATTGCCCTTTTTCTTTTCTTTCCTTTCCTTTTATTTTTTGAGACAAATTTCTCGCTCTGTCACCTAGGCTAGAGTGTAGTGGTGTGATCTCAGCTCGCTGCAACCTCTGCCTCCTGGGTTCAAGCGATTCTCCTGCCTCAGCCTCACAAGTAGCTGAGATTATAGGCATAAGACACCAAACCCGGCAATTTTGTTTTTTAGTAGAGACAGGGTTTCATCATGTTGGCCAGGCTGGTGTCAAACTTGATCTGCCCGTCTCAGCTTCCCAAAGTGCTGGGATTACAGGCGTGAGCCACTGCACCTGGCCATGTCTTACCCTTTTTCAAAGAGGCAGAGTGGTATGTAGAAAGAATAAGGACTTTGGAGATAGTTGATTTAAATTCTCGCTTGGTAAACAACTTCAACATAGCATGTGGCCTTGGATAAGTCACTTAACACACTTTACTGAGCTCAGTTCCACCATCTTTGAAAAAGGGAGAATAATATCTGCCTCCATCAGCTATAGTGAAGACGAAGAGAGAGAGTGTAGATAAGCCCCTAACAGCGGCTGGCATGTATGAGGCACTTAATAAATGGAAACTGTAGAAATAAAATAATGATGATAATCTGATCTGTTTTTAGAATTGTTTTAGAGACAGGGTCTCATTCGATCACTCAGGCTGGCATGCAGTGGGCCATCATAGCTAATTGCAGCCTTGAACTCCTGGGCTCCAGTGATCCTCCCACCACAACCTCTGGAGCAGCTGGGACTAGGGGCACATGCCACCACACCCAGTTATTATTATTTTAAAATTTGTCTATTTATTTATTTATTGAGATAGAGTTTAGCTCTTATTGCCCATGCTGGAGTGCAATGGCATGATCTTGGCTCACTGCAACCTCTGCCTCAGTCTCCCAAGTAGCTGGGATTACAGGCATGCATCACCATGCCTGGCTAATTTTGTATTTTTAGTAGAAATGGGGTTTCTCCATGTTGGTCAGGCTGGTCTTGAACTCCCATCCTCAGGATCCACTGGCCTCTGCCTCCCAAAGTGCTGGGATTACAGGCGTGATCCACCAAGCCTGGCCTTTTTCTTTCTTTTTATGAGACAGGTCTTGCTTTTTAAAAAGCCCAGGGAGTACAGTGGTGTGATCTTGGCTCACCATAATCTCTGCCTCTCAGGCTAAGCGATCCTCTGAACTCAGCCTCCCAAGTAGCTGGGATTACAGGCGTGTGCCACCATGCCCGGCTAATTTTTGTATTTTTAGTAGAGATGGGGCTTCACCATGTTGGCCAGGCTGGTCTCCAACTCCTGACCTCAAGTGATCTGCCTGTTGCAGTCTTCCAAAATGCTGGGATTACAGGTGGATCACCTGAGGTCAGGAGTTTGAGATCAGCCTGGCCAACATGGCGAAACTCCATCTCTACTAAAATACAGAAATTAGCTGGGAGTGGTGGCAGGTGCCTGTAACCCCAGCTACTTGGGAGGCTGATGCACCCGGCTTGATGGTTCATCGTAAAGCCACTTTTCGAGCCTCTATCCCCTCTCTACAAAGGCACCATGTCTTCATATGCTCACTATGCCCCAGATCCGATTTCGCTTGCATTCTAGGGCACTGTCTGAGAGAAGGGCAAAAGCCAACAAGAAAAAAGCCTTCCCCAGCACTGGAGATCTGGCCTCTTCACTTACATGCTGTCTGCAAATGCACCATTATTCTTTTCCTATCAAATCGACTCCTTTAATCTTTTCTACAGCCCTTTCATCATCCTTGTTGCTTGTCTCAACCACTTTTAAGTCTGCCAACATCTTTCTGATCCTTAAGTAAACAGGACAAATCACTCTGCTGGAAGACATGAACTCTCTGCCCTACCTTGGCCTTCTGGAAGTAATGCTGATTGAACAACAGACATGCAGTGGGAGGCTGAGCCCCGTTTCTCATGCCCGTGTGGAGTGCAACTGTGGAAAGTAATTGTAAGATTATTGCATTTGAATCAGAACCACAGGAGCATGCAGCCTTGGCTCACCTGGGCAGTCCTGAGAGTCTGCAGGGACAGCTGCTGGGCTTTGGGGGACGCGCAGGGCAGCAAAGCTATTAGACCTTTATACACTTGATTCTGGTACTTGGGATTGCCATGGACCAAAGAATCCAACAGAACCTGCACTTCCTCCTGGGTCTCTTCTGACTGAGACTTTGCTAAAAATTCTGCTGTGGATCGTACACCTGAGCAAAGAAGAGAAGAGATGCTGAATTGGAAGGGATTTATGAAAACAATCCCCACTCAAGATTACATAATATGAATAAGATTAAGAGTGCTTCAACTAAGCCTGTTCAACCAAAGCAAAATTGAGGCTTGGTTCTCATGTTGTTTACCTTATAGCTTGTTTACCTTACAGCCATGTGGTTGGAGGATTTTGTTGCAGCACAGGCATGTCAAAATCTGTGTTTTAAAATTTAAAATGGCTCTGTACAATTTACACATAAAACACGCATTTTTATTGCTATATGATAACACTTGTATACCACTCAGCAGTTTGCAAAATGGTTTTACAAATATTAACTCACTTAATCCCAGAAACCATACTGAGAGGAAGGTGTTAGTCCCACTTTATGGATGAAGACACTGAGGTTTTGAGAGGCCGTGGGGTAGACAGACAGGAGAACCTTGATGAGAGTGCAGGGTGGAAAGTGCTTTGAAAAAGGGAGATGTGGGCCTGGCGCAATGGCTCACGCCTGTAATCCCAGCACTTTGGGAGGCCGAGGCAGATGGATCACTTGAGGTCAGGAGTTCAAGACCAGCCTGGCCAACATGGCGAAACCCCATCTCTACTAAAATACAAAAATTAGCTGGGCATGGTGGCGGGTGCCTGTAACTCTAGCTACTTGCGAGGCTGAAGCAGAATTGCTTAAACCCAGGAGGCAGAGGTTGCAGTGAGCCGGGATCGTGCCACTACACTCCAGCCTGGTCAACAGAGCAAGACTCCATCTCAAAAAAAAAAAAAAAAAAGGCCAGACTTGGTGGCTCACTCCTGTAATCCCAGCATTTTGGGAGGCCGAGGCAGGCGGATCACAAGATCAGGAATTCGAGATCAGCCTGGCCAATGTGGTGAAGCCTCATCTCTACTAAAAATACAAAAATCAGCTGGGCATGGTGGCAGGCACCTGTAGTCCCAGCTATTTGAGAGGCTGAGGCAGGAGACTCACTTGAACCCAGGAGGCAGAAGTTGTAGTGAGCTGAGATTGCGCCACTGCATGTCAGCCTGGGCAACATAGTGAGACTCCAACTCAAAAAAAAACAAGAAAGAAAAAAGGAGATGTGGGTGATGGTATCTCTTTTACACGCCTCACTTGGAGTACTTCATAGATTATATTAAAATTATTGGGTCGGGTCTGGGTGTGGTGGCTCATGCCTGTAATTCCAGCACTTTGGGAGGCTGAGGTGGGTGGATCAAGAGGTGAGGAGTTCTAGACCGTTCTAGACCAGCCTGGCCAACATGGTGAAACCCCATCTCTACTAAAAGTAGAAAATATTAGCTGGCATGGTGGTCTGCACCTATAATCCCAGCTATTCAGGAATCTGAGGCAGAATTGCTTGAACCCAGGAAGCGGAGGTTGCAGTGAGCTGAGATCAGACCATTGCACTCCAGCCTGGGTGACATAGTGATACTCTGTCCCAAGGAAAAAAAAATGATTGGGACAGGCATGGTGGCTCATGCCTGTAATCCTAGCACTTTGGTGGGTGGGTCACTTGAGCTCATGTGTTCGAGACCAGCCATGGCTAACATGGCCATATCCTGTCTCTACTAAAAATAATAAAAATTAGCCAGGCATGGTGGTACATGCCTGAAATTCCAGCTACTTGGGAGGCTAAGGCATGAGAATTGCTTGAACCCGGGAGGCAGAGGTTGCAGTGAGCCGAAATTGTGCCACTGCACTCCATCCTGGGTGACAGAATGAGACTCTGTCTCAAAAAAAAAAAAAAAAAATACTAGATTATACTTTTCTCATCAGCCTGTAAACTCTCTGAGGAAAGGACTGTATTATATTCATTTTTGTATCCCTAGCACCTGGCATATATCTAGCACACAGCAGGTATTCAATAATTGTATTTCTTTTTGTTTTTCTTTGTTTTCTACTTTTATTTTTGTTTTTTGGAGACAGAGTCTTGCTCTGTAGTCCAGGCTGGAATGCAGTGGTGCGTTCTCAGTTCACTGCAACCTCTGTCTCCCAGGTCCAAGTGACTCTCCTTACTCAGCCTCCCGAGTAGCTGGGACTATAGGCATGCATCATCACACCAGGCTAATTTTTGTATTTTTAGTAGAGATGGCATTTCACCATGTTGGCCAAGCTGGTCTCAAAATTCTGACCCCAGGTGATCCACCTACCTCAGCCTCCCAAAGTGCTGGGATTACAGGCGTAAGCCACCGCGCCTGCCCTTCAATTTTATTTCTAGAGTTATTCATAACTCAATTTCACAAAAGATATTGGGCCACAGCTCAACAAATCTTTGCAAAGATGCCTCAAAGAGGATATGTTTAAAAAGGAGAAGTATTTCTAAAACCACCACTGAAAAATCTGAGCAAATGATGAATCAGGAGAATCATAAATCTGGACGTGGACAGGAACACAAAAAGCTTCCTGTTCTTCCAGTTCTATGATGTGTTTTCCTACAGCAGTGGTGGATGCTGCCACCATTTCACCGAGGCCCCTAGGGAGGCACAGCTTGTCATACACGGTACCCACCATAGCTTTCACAAATGAGCTCCTTGTACTTCCTGCCAGAGTTTGCAATAACCTGAAGTAGTTTGACGGACTCCTTCTTGGCCTCCTCCGTGATCTTCTCCAGCCCAAGTATTTCCAAGAGTGTTAGGACACCTCCAATCTCAAGAAATTCTCTAAGGTACCGATTACTGTCCAGAGGGATAGAAAAGTAGAAATAAAACTCTTGTCAAGTTCCTTTGCACTGACCTTTCAAAGAGATCCCAAGGACCCGTCTTCACAGACTGTGCCCTCCTATCCAAGGAAATGTCCACAGGTAAAGTGATACAAGAGTGTGGAAATTCTTCCTTCCAGCAGGAGATACTGGAATTAGATACTAGGGACATTTCTTGGTTTTGGCATTCCAGCATCTGTTCTCTTTCTTCTTCTTTTTTATTTTTTTTTTTGAGACAGAGTTTCGCTCTTGTCACCATGCTGAAGTGCAATGGTGTGATCTTGGCTCACTGCAACTTCCACCCCCCAGGTTCAAGCAATTCTGCCTCAGCCTCCCGAGTAGCTGGGATTACAGGTGCCCGCCACCATGCCTGGCTAATTTTTGTATTTTTAGTAGAGATGGGGTTTCACCATGTTGGCCAGGATGATCTCGAGCTCCTGACCTCGTGATCCACCCGCCTCAGCCTCCCAAAGCGCTGGGATTATAGGAGTCAGCCACCACGCCCAGCTGCCTCTCCTTCTTGTAATAGCACCTCAGCTGTCACTTGGGGAATCATCCCTCTGCCATTCATGGGCCATGTAGTTTTGGTGGGGTGAGGAGGTGACAGGGTATGTCACCCTTCTGACTGTAGAAATTGGTTTGGGGCTGGGCATGAGACCTAAATTGGTCCAATGAGGCTCAAAGCCTGGGACTTTCTTGGGAAGCTGTGGAAAGGATCTGCTCCTTTTTTAGTGTGTCTGGAGCTTCTGAAGACCACGGCACTCAGAAGTTTATGAACACGGAGGAGAAGAGACAGAAATATGGGAAAAGACTGAGGGGGAGACCAAGTACTGATGACATTGTTTGGGCCTGGATCTAGTCAGGCCTGAAATATGTATTTCTTCTCTCTGGGTTTTTCCAGATAAGTGACCCAATAATTTTCCTTTTTCTGAGTCCAACATGAGCTGGTTTTCTGTAATTCACAACTGAGAGGTGTTGACTAGTAAAGTGTCACTGGAGAGCACGGGATGGAGGAGCAGCTAGAGCAGAAGCCCAGTGGACATTACCTCTGGGCCCATTCGAGAGCTACAAGGAACCCACTGGGAACAGGAATCCATGGCCCTGGGTGGTGTGAATGCCAAGGACATCATGAGCACGAGATGCCACTGAGACCCCAGAAGCACGCTAGAACAGCACTCACCTGCTTACAGCTGATAAGAAGATGCCAATGGACTTGAGAAGCTTTTCTAAACAACAGCCAGTCATATAGCTGTATGACAAGTTAAAGAGTGAGTTTCAGGGTGGTTTTTCACACAGAAGCCAGATCCCATGCCTGATCTCTGGTGGGTGGCCCAGGGTGGCCAAGTAGCTGAACTATGCCCCTTTACCCTGAGAGGGGCCACCAGCTGAAGGGGAAGTGGCAAACAGGGTTGGAGGGAAGGGGTGCTGGCTGTTCACTGTTCTCCAGGAAGCTCCTCTGTGGTACTTCAGCCACCCTGGCTCTGACAGGCTCTCTAGGGAACAAGGAGGCTCTGATGAATTCAGGTCTCTGGAGAAGCTGGAAGTCAATATCCCAAACCTCTCTAAGCTGTGCCCGCTGCATTTTTGGTCTCAGCATAGTTCATGACTTTGTGTCTCATTCTTAGATTTCCCTAAAAAGAGCCAGCTTCATCATTAATTCTCAATTTTTTTTTTTTTTTTTTTTTTGAGACGGAGTTTCGCTCTTGTTACCCAGGCTGGAGTGCAATGGCGCAATCTTGCTCACCGCAACCTCCGCCTCCTGGGTTCAGGCAATTCTCCTGCCTCAGCCTCCTGAGTAGCTGGGACTACAGACACGCGCCACCATGCCCAGCTAATTTTTTGTATTTTTAGTAGAGACGGGGTTTCACCATGTTGACCAGGATGGTCTCGATCTCTTGACCTCGTGATCCACCCGCCTCGGCCTCCCAAAGTGCTGGGATTACAGGCTTGAGCCACCGCGCCCGGCCTAATTCTCAATTTTGTACTTGGAGGTCACTATCCTTATGAAGAATTGGCTTCCTAATAAGAATAATAGGAGATGGTGGAAAAATTAAACTCTGATTTAAAACAACCTCAGTATTTAATGTTATTTTTTAATGTGAGTCTTTGCAAAAAGCCTCATTATAATAAAGCACCCAAAGCACGCATCAGCTTAGATACAAGGTATGAAATCAAGCCACAACAGAAAAGGAACCAGTCAACAATTACCAGGCTCATAACACATCAGAGGCTCTTAGAACACTTAAGAAATTAGCTGAAATTATTGCAGCTCATGGAGGATGACTGAGAGCCTCCAATGCTGATAAAGGCTAATGTAATGGGTTGGAGGTAATGGTGCTTTGTTTGGGCGGGGGGTGTGTGAAGCAAATTATCTCTGCTGCACCCTGGTTCCCAGGATGCCAATAGAAGTAGAGACAGATTGGCTCATTAGGAAAGGCCCTTTACTGCAAAAATAGTGTTTGCTCTGGAGCCAGGCTGCCCTGCCTGTTGCCGCCATAGCTGGGGCCAGGCATCAGCCCACATGGTGGTCTTTTTATTCCTACATTGTCCCCACCCTGCTCCCTCAACCCCTACCCCTGTTCCTGCCTCAGTGCATTCTCCACTTTTTCTTCAGTTTCCAGCTAGGCTGACCAACTTTTATCACCTTCTGTTTCCTTTGTCCTGGGCTAGTCTTTCTTTCTTTTTTTTTTTTTAGAGAGGGGCTCACTCTGTCGCCCAGGCGGAAGCACAGTGGTGCAATCACAGCTCACTGCAGCCTTGAACTCGTGGCCTCAAGTGATCCTTTTGTCTCAATATCCTGAGTAGCTGGGACTACAGGTATGTGGCACCATGTCCAGCTATTATTTTTCCTGTATTTTTTGTAGAGACAGGGGTCTTACTATGTTGCCCAGGCTGATTTTAAACTCCTGGATTCAAGTAATCCTCTTGCCTTCCAAAGTGTTGGGATTATATGCGTAAGCCACTGTGCCAGCTTTGTTTTTTGTTTGTTTTTTTCTTCCTTTTCATGGAGAATGGAGTTTTACTATGTTGCCCATGCTGGTTTTGAACTCCTGGGGTCAAGTGATCCTTCTGCTTCTGCCTCCCCTAAGTGTTGAGACTACAGGTGTGAGCCACCAGCCCTGGTTAGTCTTGTTTTCATCGTCATTCACTATACATATTTCCAGGAATTAGTTCCAGGACACATTGTTTGAGTCCTGGATCTAAGAACACGGGATAAAGGAGCAATGTTGGGGCCGACAGTCAGCAGTAGCTAACAAGTACCAGCTCCTGTTGTGTGCTGGGCACTGTGCTTACTGCTTTGCTTGCATTGTCTCATGTAATCCTCACCACGGCCCTCCAGTGGGTGCTGTTAGTATTTCCATTTACCTCCTGAGTAACATGAGGTAACAATCTCAGGTCGATAACTTGTCCAAGGTCCCACAGTGAGCTGATGGAACCGAGATTTGAACCTAGGCAGTCTGATTCAGATTCCAACTCTTACTGTTAGGCCTTCTGGCTTGTAGACAAATGGAGGGAGGGGGCTTTGCAGATGAACTCCCTGTGTGATGATGCAGGTGGAGCTGTGGTCTGCACTGAGTAGTAGACACGATGGTGTATAGGCTTTCAGGCAGATAAACAAGGTTCTAACCTTATATCTACCATTTGCTAGTAAATTACTCAACCTTTTCAAGGCTCATCTTTCTTATTATAAAATGGAATAATACCAATTAACTATTAGGTTGGGTGTTAGGCCCAAATGAGATAATATTTGTACAGTATATATCTCAGTGTCTAGAACATAAAAAGACTCAATAGCCTGGGCGAGGTGGCTCATGCCTGTAATCCCAGCACCTTGGGAGGCTGAGGAAGGCGAATCATTTGAGGTCAGGAGTTCAAGACCAGCCTGGCCAACATGGTGAAACTCCATCTCTACTAAAAATATAAAAATTAGCTGGGCATGGTGGTGCACACCTGTGATCCCAGCTACTCCAGAGGCTGAGGCATGAGAATCGCTTGAACCCAGGAAGCAGACATTGCAGTGAGCCATGATTGCACCACTGCACTTCAGTCTGGGCAACAGAACAAGACTCTCAAAAAAAAAAAAAGACTTGGCCAGGCATGATGGCTCACGCCTGTAATCCCAGCACTTTGGGAAGCTGAGGAAGGTGGATCACCTGAGGTCAGGAGTTCGAGACCAACCTAGCCAACATGGTGAAACCTCATCTTTACCAAAAAAGTACAAAAATTAGCTGAGCGTGATAGTGGGCACCTGTAATCCCAGCTACTCGGTGGACTGAGGCAGGAGAATCGCTTGAACCCAGAGGCGGAGGTTGCAGTGATCGAGATCATGCCATTGCACTCCAGCCTGGGTGACAGAGGGAGACTCCATCTCAAACACACACACACACACACACACACACCCTCAATAAATGGTAACTAACAATTTTATCATTTAATATATAAATCCTTAGTTTTACTCATCTATTCTGAAAGTTCAAGGTTGAAAAAAGGGTTTAGGCTTATGTGGGACTATGTGGTTGTCAATTTTGCAAAAAATAATGATGCTATGATGCTATATTGTTTTCTTCCAAAATCTGCCATAACTGGAGGGCTGAGTAGGAGAAGCGGGTTTGCTAATTCAAAACACTGTATCAATTCAGGCAGTCTATTTTCTCTGTTGTATGACAAAGTTGCAAAAGGTTAGGAGATTATGAATAATTCTGGGTGTAGAATACTGAATCTACAACTGTTTATTTATTTATTTATTTATTTATTTTTTATTTATTTTTTTTTTTTTAGACGGAGTTTCGCTCTTGTTACCCAGGCTGGAGTGCAATGGCGCGATCTCGGCTCACCGCAACCTCCGCCTCCTGGGTTCAGGCAATTCTCCTGCCTCAGCCTCCTGAGTAGCTGGGATTACAGGCACGCACCACCATGCCCAGCTAATTTTTTGTATTTTTAGTAGAGACGGGGTTTCACCATGTTGACCAGGATGGTCTCGATCTCTTGACCTCGTGATCCACCCGCCTCGGCCTCCCAAAGTGCTGGGATTACAGGCTTGAGCCACCGCGCCCGGCCTACAACTGTTTATTAAAAGCATGGTTCATTGCAAGTATCTTACCAATAAGTGCAGAATAAAAATGAAAAAAAGAAAAATAGGAAAAAGAAAAAAAGAAAAGCATGGTTCATTCATTTAGTAAGCACAGACTGAGTACCCACTAAATGTAAGGCACTATGATTGGCACTTCAGAAATGAAGAATGATGTAATGCCTAATGTAATAAGTGCAATGACCAAGTAAGAAAAGCAGCGGGCTGAACACAGAATGCTCAGACACACTGACGTTTAAGTGGGGGATTGGGGTGGGAAAGATCCTGCAATAGCAACTGAGAAACGGTGGGAGAAAGTAGAAGAGAGGACAGTTAAAGAAGAGGCTGTGGGGGCTGGGCGCTGTGGCTCACACCTGTAATCCCAGCACTTTGGGAGGCCAAGGAGGGCAGATCACGAGATTAAGAGATCAAGACCGTCCTGGCCAACATGGTGAAACCCTGTCTCTACTAAAAATACAAAAATTATCTGGGCATGGTGGTGCACGCCTGTAGTCCCAGCTACTCAGGTGGCTGAGGCAGGAGAATATTTTGAGCCTGGGAGGCAGAGGTTGCAGTGAGCTGAGATGGTGCCACTGCACTCCAGCCTGGTGACAGACTGTCTCAAGAAAAAAAAAAAGAAGAAGATGAAGAGGCAGTGGTCAAGCAAGGCCAGAACTAGGGTGAGGTGAGGAAGGCACTTGCTTGGGATCTGAAATTTAAAGGGGCACCAAAAAACTCAGTCATCAAATAATATTTCAATATACTATTTAAAATAATCAAATTAATATTAAAAAGTCCATGATGGCCCAGGCATGGTAGGTAGCTCACAACTTTAATCCCAGCACTTTGGAAGGTCAAGGTGGGAGGGTCACTTGAGCCCAGGAGTTTGAGACCAGCCTGGGAAACAGCAACAGCAAGATCCAACCTTTATTTAAAAAATTTTTTTTTTAAATTCCAGGCTGGAGTGCAATGGTGTAATCTCGGCTCACTGCAACCTCCGCCTCCTGAGTTCAAGTGATTCTCCTGCCTCAACCTCCTGAGTAGCTGGGATTACAGGTGCCTGCCACCATGCCCAGCTTATTTTTGTATTTTTAGTAGAGATAGGGTTTCACCATCTTGGCCAGGCTGGTCTCAAATTCCTGACCTCTGGTGATCCACCCACCATAGCCTCCCAAAGTGCTGAGATTACAGGTGTGAGCCACTGCACCAGGACCCTCAACAACCTTTTCAAGAAGCTTCACTGGGGCGCACGCCTGTAATCCCAGCATTTTGAGTTCAGGGGTTTGAGACCAGCCTGGCCAACACGGCAAAACCCCATCTCTACTAAAAATACAAAAGTTAGCTGGGCATGGTGGTTCATGCCTATAGTCTCAGATACTTGGGAGGCTGAGGCAGGAGAATAGCTTGAACCCGGGAGGCAGAGCTTGTGGTGAGCTGAGATCGTGCCATTGCATTCCAGCCTGGGCCACAGAGAAAGACTCTGTCTTAAAAAAAAAAAAAAAAAAAAAAAAAAAAAAAAAAAAAAAAAAAAAAAAAAAAAAAAAAAAAAAAGTTTCACCATGAAAAGCAGAAACTGGGATTGGGTGGAATATAGATTTGAGATGGGATTCAACTTTATTTTTTTAAGTAGAAGAGATTTCAGCATATATAAATGCTGAAAAACACTGGTAATGAGGCAAAGGTTAAAGCTATAGGAGAGAAAGAATAAGCAGATAGGAAGAGGTTCAAGTGTACAACAAATAGAGGATTAGCCCTAGACGAAGGTATACCTACTTCAACTCTGATGGAAGCAAGAGGTTGGGGTGAGAAAGAAGATACAATTATAGGTTGGGAAGATGGGAAGCTGAGAGAGTGCTTGACTCTAAGGATTTTTTTATCACCTTTTTTTTTTTTTAATCACCAGATGTCCTGTTCTAAAATATTAGAATCAAGAGACAACTCTTTCGACAATCTCCTTTCCTTTCCATTTTTGAAGATTGCCTAATTTTTTTTTCTGTTCAGCAAAGGATACGTGATTCTAAGCCAGGTGGTCAAGCGTATCAGGAACAAACTGGCTCCCTGGGAAAACTCCTGCTCCAGTTCAGGGGCAGTCTTGCCTTGGTTGGTTTCAATGAACTTGTCGAGGATGTGACTCCTTGCAACTTTGCCAGCGTTGTCCCACTCTTGTAAAAAACTTAAGAGCCTGCTAATTGCTGCCTGCTCCTTTATAGAAGTCATGATCAATCAGTCCTGGAGCTGGCTACAGAGGGAGGGAAAACAGACAGGTTACCAGAATGTTTAGAATCATGCAACTCCATTGTTTTACTAGCAATCAACTGGAGGCAAGGGGTGGCTCTATCACACACGTGGGTGTAGTTATGTGCAAAATATACTCTGGGACTGGTCACCTGCTGCTTGAATGGGGAGGCTGTAGCTGGAGTGTAATGGGATTAATAATATCAATGTGCTAAACGTCTGCTCTTTAAGAACTAAAATTTTGGTCGGGTGCGGTGGCTCATGCCTGTAATCCCAGCACTCTGGGAGGCCAGGGTGGGCAAATCATGAGGTCAGGAGTTTGAGACCAGCCTGGCCAACATGGTGAAACCCCATCTCTACTAAAAATACAAAAAATTAGCTGGGCGTAGTGGTAGATGCCTGTAATCCCAGCTACTCGGGAGGCTGAGGCAGGAGAATCACTTAAGCCCGGGAGGTGGAGGTTGCAGTGAGCTGAGATCATGCCTCTGCACTCCCAGCCCTGGCTATAGAGCAAGACTCCATCTCAAAAAAAAAAGCAAAAAAAACCACTAAAATTTTAGCCCTTTGGCTTCTCTCCTGATGCCAGCAACTAAAAGACCACAGCATCCAGTTGAGATAAAAGTGCTTGCTAAGGACAGGCGTGGTGGCTCATGCCTGTAATTCCAGCACTTTGGAAGGCCCAGGCAGGCGGATCGCCTGAGGTAAGGAGTTTGAAACCAGCCTGGCCAGTGTGATGAAACCCTGTCTCTACTAAAAATACAAAAAATTGGACCGGGTGCAGTGGCTGACGCCTGTAATCCCAGCACTTTGGGAGACCAAGGCGGGTGGATCAGGAGGTCAGGAGTTGGAGACCAGCCTGGCCCACATAGTGAAACTCCATCTCTACTAAAAATACAAAAATTAGCTGGGTGTGATAGCACACATCTGTAATCCTTTTACTGAGAAAGGAGAATCGCTTGAAATGGGGAGGTGGCGGTTGCAGTGAGCTGAGATCACACCACTGCACTCCAGCCTGGGCGACAAATCAAGACTCTGTCCCAAAAACAAAACAAAACAAAACCAAAAAACCAAAAACCAAAAACCAAAATGGTTGCCTGTAATCCCAGCTACTCAGGAGGCTGAGGCAGGAGAAATCTCTTGAACCTGGGAGGCGGGTTGCAGTCAGCCAAGATCATCCAGCCTGTGAACAGAGCAAGACACTGTCTCAAACAAAAAAGTAAAAAACAAAACTTAGACCTCTTTTGTGGCTTACTTCATACAGGGTCAGAGGCTTGAGGTCTGGAGAGACGTGGCCTCCCTCTTGTGCCAATCACCTAAGTTAAAGTGCTCCTTAACCTTGTACCTTGGGCTTTTATACTAACTCTTAAAAACAACTTAAAAAAAAGTTAGTGGGAAGAAAAAGTTCCCATTCCATAGTTGGATTAATGGGCTGTGGTTTGTAGGAGTCTGTGTCCTTGGGAGAGTGTTTTCAGTGGGGGAGGGAAGGTTTAAGATAAACCCGTTTTCCAAAAATAGTTGTGATTGAAAGTGTTATTATCCATAACAAATGTTAGTGCTGATGGGAGAGAGGTATGTGCCATTCTTTTGTCTAACAGACAAGTGAAAGTCATATTTCACATTATCATGGGGTTTTCTGTGATTTACAGAATATTTGTGAAACATTACTTGCAGGGGCCATGATTGATATGGAGAGAACAGCTTGTGTGTAGGAGAGATGTGTATTTCACGAAGACTGTTCAACATGAAATTTACAGTCCCATAAAGTGCTTCTACATCTTCGCCAGAGATCTAGTTAAAAGGACTTTACAGTCTGAAACATCCTAAAATTGATTCTAAATTAACGTTTCCTCACATGTATTTGAGATATTGATGGGACCCAGCTATCAGAATTTTATTAGGGAGCAATAATCTGAGGTATGCAGAGACAGACATACATACACACCAACCTCTACTGCTCCCCAGAGGACATGGAGTGTGTGCTTCCAGAAGGGCGTCCACACTGCCTCCAGGATGGAGACAACCACGAAATCTAGCTGGCCTTAAGAACCAGGTGAATGACTGCGGACCAACCTAAACACAAAAATGACCAAACTCCCTCATGGGATCAAGCATCAATTACTGTGAATGTCATTGCAGTCATAAGTCTGAGAATAACTTAGGGAGGCTGTGGCTGCCTTCAACAGCCAAACTAACATCAAGAAAACGGGGGTGAATGGCTATTCTAGACCCCAGGGAGGTGGGGTTGAGACACCACCACTAGCTTTATCAGGCAGGAAAGCACCCTGGGCCCCTGCCCTGCCTTGAATGGGCCCTTTCTGGTATCAAAACTCAATGTGCTATTAGAGATGCATCTAGCAATTCTGGGACACCAAGGGCACTCCACATTACGGCTCCTTGATGCTTCCTTGGACCTCAGTCTCCCCTGTCTTCTTTGGAGACAGGAAAAGAAACATCAACAAATGGCAGCTTTAAAAGTCACTGTGATGCAGCTGTAAATCTTATACATGTGGTGAAGGCCCATAGTGTGGCTCTGTATAAGGTACAGCAGGAGACGCAGAGATGAATACGGTGCTGCAGGGCCCTGGAGGAGCTCCTAATCTTGGGAGAGTGGAGTCAGACTGGGTTCAAAGCTCAGCTCCGCCACTTGCTATTTCAAAAAGAATCAAATAGTAATAGCACCTGCCTCACCTTGCTGCCCCCTAGTCTCTCCTCACAGAGAAGGCCCCTTTAAACTCTTTTGGCTATTTCTTCTGCTGTTTACCTCTGTATTTCCAAGTAGCCAGCTTACACTACTCGTTATGGGCTGCATTGTGTTTCCCCCAAATTCCTGTGTTGAAGTCCTAACTACCAGTACCTCGGGATGTGGTTGTAATTGCAGATACGGTCTTTAAAGAGGAAATTATTAGGTTTAAATTGTGTCATTAGGGTGGGCCCATATCCTATATGACTGGTGTCCTTATAAGAAGAGGTGATTAGGATACAGACACACACAGAGAGAAAACCAGGTGAAGACACAGGGAAAACATGGCCATCTGCAAGCCAAGCAGAGAGGCCTCAGAGGAAATCAACACTGTGACATCTTGATCTCAGCTCCAGCCTCCAGAACTATGAGATGATGAATTTCTGTCATTTAGGTTACCTAGTCTATAACACTTTGTTATGGCAGCTCTAGCAAACTAATGCACGGCTATCATTGGATACATCAACCTTAGGCAACCTTTGTGTATTTATCATTATGGCAGTTGAGGAATTAGGTCGGTCTTCATTTTTTTTTTTTTTCTGAGATGAGGTCTCACTATGTTGCCCAGCCTGGAGCTGCAGTTGCTACTCACAGGTATGATCACAGCACACTACATCCTCAAACTCCTGGCCTCAAGCAGTCCTCCTGCTTCAGCCTCCTGAGTACCTGGGGCTAAAGGTGCATGCCACCTTGCTCAGCAGAGGAATCAGTTTTATTGTACCACTCTGTCTCCCATTTTTTCTCTCTCTATTCTCACAACATAATTTCCCATAATTTATAGTTAAATCAAGTGTTTACATTATTATTATAATTTTTTTTTTTTTTTTGAGACGGAGTTTCCCTGTTGTTACCCAGGCTGGAGTGCAATGGCGTGATCTCGGCTCACTGCAACCTCCGCCTCCTGGGTTCAGGCAATTCTCCTGCCTCAACCTCCTGCGTAGGTGGGATTACAGGCACGCGCCACCATGCCCAGCTAATGTTTTGTATTTTTAGTAGAGACGGGGTTTCACCATGTTGACCAGGATGATCTCGATCTCTTGACCTCATGATCCACCTGCCTTGGCCTCCCAAAGTGCTGGGATTACAGGCTTGAGCCACCGCGCCCGGCTATTATTTTTTTTTTAAGAGATGGAATCTCACTGTGTCACCTAGGCTGGAGTGCAGTGGCATGATCTCAGCTCACTGCAGCCTCTGCCTCCCAGGTTCCAGTGATTCTCCTGCCTCAGCTTCCCAAGTAGATGGGATTACAGGCATGTGCCACTACGCCTGGCTAATTTTCGTATTTTTAATAGAGATGGGGTTTTGCTTTTTTGGCCGGGCTGGTCTCGAACTCCTGAGCTCAAGTGATCTGCCTGCCTCAGCCTCCCAAAGTGCTGGGATTACAGGCAGGAGCCACCGCGCCCTGCATGTTTACATGATTGATCAAGTAAATAAACTCTTCACTCAAGTAGCAAACTACTATTACATATTTTTCTTACAGTTTGGTTTTACCTGGAGTTAATAATTGTCATTTCTTTTTTCCCATTGTTTGGTTTGAAGTACCAAGGGCTATTTTTTCCCAAATGTTCCAAATATGTAGCAATTATTTTTAGAAATGTTTAATCCATAACTGATTAATTCCATCTTTTCCCTGGAAACCTCTGTCCCACAAATCTCTTTCTACTACAGTTTAGACTGGCTGCTCACTAAGGCTGGTATGCAAATGTCCTGGGATTTCCTCTTGCCAAGTTTTTCTGACAGATGCCCATTCCCTGGTTCTCACATCTTCTTCTTTCTTTGTGTACTCCCTTGTTTTGTCCTGGAAAGTCTAAAAATATCTTTTTTGACCACATGTTGGATTGGCTGGGTATATAATGCTGCATTAGAAATAAGCTATCTGGCTAAACGTGCTGGCTCATGCCTATAATCCCAGCATGTCGGGAGGCCGAGGCAGGAGGATCACTTGAGCCCAGGAGTTTGAGACCAGCCTGGGGGAACACAGTGAGATTCCCCCCTACCACCAAAAAAAAAAAAAAAAAATTAGCCAGGTATAGTGGCACACACTTGTAGTTTCAGCTACTTGGGAAGCTAAGGTGGCTGAGGTGGGAGGATTGCCTGAGCACAGGAGGTCGGGGCTGCAGTGGTCTGTGATCATGCCACTCAACTCCAGCCTGGGCAACAGAGCAAGACCCTGTCTCAAAACAACAACAACAACAACAACAATAACAACAAAGCTTCCCTCAGATTGACCCTCCCCAGTTGCTGTTGCTCATGAGAAATCTGAA